TATATACAAATTATGCAATGTATGCTGGACATACCAACTGCCTTTGGTTAAACAGAATAAACTATTGAAATGTTCCCCCCTTTTGTGGAAGGTTCACTGACTGCAACAAGGGAAGCTGACTGCCTTACTTTTAAATCAAAGTGTAACCATCAGAGGCGTTTACTTAGAATGCAGATTCCTGGGCATCAGAGTGAGTAGTATCCAATTTTCTGAAGATACATCTCAGGAACGTACACTTTTAACAAGCCTGTCATGTGATCCTTACTCTTTAAAGTCTGAGACAGGTTTTCTTTTAGGCTCTACTGTTCATGGGTGCCATATCAATAGGGAAAACAAATAAAAATATCTAAAAAGGTATATACAAAGTTGCATTTGGTTAAAGGGCTACACATTAGATGCTCCTAAATTAGAGGAACTTGAAAAAAGAAAAGTTAAATGTAGTGAGTGTGGAAGTATCCTGTAAATTGGCTCTTGCAATTCCCATTCCAAACCCTTCTGTACTGCAGTGGCTGCAAAACTAAAATCTCCATTTTTCCAACTCCTTTGCAGTTAGTTACAGTTGCAGATGTAACAGGTTTTGTCAGTCAGGCACAACTCTGCAGGTTTGACAAGAGAAGGAAATCCTTGACATGAGAAGATGGAGGCTGAAAATGCATTTTGCCAGGTTAGGTGGTTGGTAGTAGGGGCAACAAGACCATGCAATTAGCAGTCACAGCGTCCTAGCTGTAGCAACTTTACAGACAGCAGTGGACTTAACTGGGTTCTAGATGACAGTGTTCTGGAAACTCAGCCTATTCCTCTAGCCCTCCCAGTGGTTTTATAAGCCATCAAATACATTTCAATATATCTCATTCTGCTTAAACTTGCTAAAGTGGATTGTATTTTCTGCAACTAAACCTTCAGCAATACTAGGAGAAAAGAACCCAAGTTACTAAGTGTTTATTTCTCATAAAGGTTAGTCTAAACTTTCAAAATTCAAATTGTAAAATGAGGACCACGTTAAATATTTTTAAGAGCAATTTTTAATTGGCAATCCATGGGAATG